AATATTATTGTCCATTTCATTACATTGCATGCGAATAATTCAATAAAACATTTGGCTAGACATTGGTTTTGACATTTGATGTACCATGCCAGCACGTCAAGCTACACATTGATGTAACGTGTTCCGTTGCACTGGAGGCGAATTTCGAACAAAAATGTGTAGTCTGATGTGCCGTTGTCCGTACTACTCTTTGACAAACGGAAACGGTTATCAAAGGGTACTCCAAAAATGGTAAAATGAGGACAGTTGGCATTTAAGATGACGTTACGTATCCCGTGTTCGATCCCGTGTTTGACATAAATCATTGCAATTAAACAAAGACAATAAAACGTTTATCTTTTCAACGTCTAAATGCATCATATACATATAATGTCTGTTTTATATATGTCAATATAACATGTCCTTTAGTTTCTATAGTCTAAGGTAAATCGATGGAGCCATTTTAAAGAAATTGGAATTGGAATCGAATACACGTAAGCATTACATGTAATTACTAGTAATAAAGCTGAAAAATTATTTTGGTAAATATTTCTTTAAATAAGAGGATGGAAAAAAATTGCTTTAAATAAAGCTTACAGGATGGATGAAGCTTCTAAGATGAAAGGATGAAGCCACAATAGTAAAATAAGTAATATCCACCCTTAGAGGATGACTCTGATGTAAAATGGAATCCAAACATAAAGGAACCTAGGACAGTGTTGATAGTGATACAATCACTGCCTTATCCACCTCCACCTTGCATGCATACAAGATGGCTCTTCACGCCTCGTTTGAAGGACCCCATACTTGGTACTTGGTGTAACGGGCTGGACCCCATATCGTAAGACGGAGGGAATACGTGCGCTGGAAGGGAGTTCCAATTGACAACTGTGCGACAGAGGAAAGTGACAATTTAATCTCTATTATTTATTACTTGAGCACTGCCTAGAGCCATCAGCTGAGGACGGTAATAAATAATGGCGCATTCTTAACACTTCTCCTGCCGAAGGCGTCGCAGTCGACTACTTGGCCTTACCGAATACAACGCACCCAGTCGCTTCGGTTGACTTCGGCTGCAAACTACCGTTGTCAGACGACTCACTATTTCCACCGGGTAGCTTATGCCTTCGGTGGACAAGTAAGGATCGCCTGACGACTTGTTGTAAATATTGCTGGGTTCATGAGTCTTTCACTTGCTTGCGTGACTCGCTTCGTGCATACGCAGAAATCTGTTGCGTACGCGCTGGTAAGACTGTTCTCGAGTTGCTCGCTTGCGCCGGTCACTTGCTTTGCGTTGGATTTCTTTTCGTGGCGTGAATTTGATATCTAGCAAACTTGATATTTCCACGTAAGCAATAAGGAGCGTTTGCGGAGCACAGCACCACTGGCCAATCACAGAGCAGCAGCTGGTTCGAGAGTGTCGACAGATTTCTACGCCGTGTACGCAGCCAACGCAAGTAAGCGAAAAACGCAATTGAAAGACTCGTGAACCGCCGGCTAAACTCTTGAAAAAAAAGGTGAGCAATAATATTTTTTCTTTCTAGTCTTTTCGCGGTTAGTATTTCAGCCATTTACAACATATTTTGACTTAAATATTTTTAAAACGGGGAAACTTTATATAATGTTCATTGCGTTATAAAAAGTTTGTGTTGGGGCCCTTGACTTACAATTATATGGACGTCGGGTCCGCGCTAAAAAGTGTCCGAACTTATAGGGCGTTAAAATCGTATATAGAGCGTCATTCACGGTTTAGTCTTCGTTTGTTCGACTGACAGCGAAGCAAGCAAAATTAGACAGTACTGCTATGACATTACAATTTAAATTGAACGTTTTAGCTTTTTCATATTCCTTTACATGTCACTACGTTTAAATGGGTTGACTTGGGACTTTTTTCGTGGTTTTTGTATTAGACCCGTCGTCCATTTATTTGTAAGTCAATGGTTGGGACATATTGAAAATTGTCTTTATTCGATCTACTTACCAGTCCAAAACAGTTATGTATTTTTGTAAATTATGAATTATTTAATTTTTATACAATGAACTATTATGTATTCCTAGCATTTATTTTGTGCGGTCTGTGCTTAAACTAAAGAATTTAAATTAAAAATTAATAAATAGTGCTGCAAGGCGTCTGCCATTATTATATTTGGTGGGTCCTATTAAATGACGCATTATAAGTTGATTTCAGTTATTTCCATGGCATCTTTTATAAAATAGACATAATGTGATTTTACAGATCGTGATCGATGACTTATATAGCTCTAATCAAGCTAAATTTTACGAACTTTTTTGAGTAAATTATTTCAAGAGAATAAATTAGAGTAAATCATTTTTAAACATGTAGTGGCAGTACCTAAAAAAATGTCCAACCCAAAGATCTTATATACATAATCTAACCATTAGATTAGTATTTTAAATCTGTTTTATCATAAAAATAAATTATAATCTCAAAAAACTTCACTTCAAAACAAAACTTCATAGCAAAATTGGCATCACAAACTATTAAAAGATACTAAGTTAAAGCCATTGACTTACAATTTGTAAGTCAATGGTTAAAGCATATACCCTTCATGACATAATGAAATAAACTATATAGAGATAAACACATGCGCTCGTTGCCTTTTCGATGAAAACAAAGAAAAACACTAAATATATGAAGAGGCTGTATGAAGGAATCTTTGCCTACCCAAATAAATGGGTGAAAATTAAAAAAAATATACATATGTGAATCGGAACATTGCAAATTTGACGTTTCAGAAATGGCTCAGCTGATGTAAATCCATTGTTTGCAAATATATAAATATTAAGTTTATAGCAAAAAGAGTATTAAGTTTAGGAATTTCTGTAATCTTGTCTAAAAACAATCATGAACGAAATAGATGATAAGTTTTACTATGTGTACAGCTCATCATTGGACTACAAAGTTGAGATTAAAATGTAAGTATACATAATTTGTTGTCATTTTTATTCTTGATAAGTATTTTAACTCCTTTACCCGCATGTGTCGTGATTACAATGACCTCGCTATTGCCCATATCTACAAAACGCCACACCGATCTCCCACTGGAGTAAGCCGCGACCACGGACCTCCACTTGCTACCCCCTGACAAACTTCTCACTTCTATAAATTGCGTAAGGTCAAATGACCTTCGTCTCACCAGATGGAAGGTGACATGAGGTCGACGATGGATCATGCACACCTAAATAAAGCCTTATTATCTCTCGCCTTAAAAAGGCCCAAGTTATAGCATTCAGGGAATAAATCGGGAAATCCAGGCATGGCCCCCTCTGCACCCCCCACACTATACAACAGACTGTGTGTTTCTAGAATGTGTGACGAATCGCATGATCGTCATGGTTTGAAATCCTGTCCAAATCTTGCATGTGATACAAAATATTTATTATTATTTCTTTATTTAAACACTATTGTACCACAAAGTAACTTACAAATATTTCAGAAACAATTTAAATATTTGTGTACAAAGGAGACCTTATTCCATCAAGAGATTTCTTCCAACTAACCTTTGAAAGAGGTTCGGAGAGGAAAGTTGGTTTTTGGGGTGGCACTAAAAATGGATAAGTAAAAAATAGAATATATTATACTTAATAAATACACAGATAAATTTATTATATGAAATATACATACTAATACATATACATTAAGTAATGTTGATACATTAAATCATACAAAGTCTATAATAAAATGAATGTATAAAATAAAACTATAAATAAATATATCAAATGTAAATAAGTATTTCATAAGGTCTAACATGTGGAATCTGAACAATCTCAAAACTTCAAAAGAGCACCCTTGAAAACCCGAATCGAAGGCGACTGCCTGACCTCGCCTGGGTGAAGTTTCCACATATGGGCAGCATTTACTGTGAATGAGTCCAAATATTTTTGGGAACTGTGTTGTGGAAGGACGAGGGACAAATTGGTGCCAAAAGCAGGCAGTCACCCATAGCCTGACGGTATTGAAAACACTCATGTAGATAGCTAGGAGAAGTGGAATGGAACAGCATTTTAAAGAGGAAGCATAAAATGTGAGCATTTCTACGTAAACAAATAGGCAACAACTTCAACTCATCTCTAAACTTGGACATATGGTCATACTTTTTCAATCCAAACACAAATTTGATACATTGATTTTACAGCCGCTCCACTTTATTAAGAAGGTCCTCCGAAAGATCAAGATAGGCGACGTCACCGTAGTCCAGAATAGGAAAAAGAATATATAATATTATAATAAGTTTGGTAGACAGAGGAAGAAAGTACTGCAGCCACTTGATAATGAAGTGATGCAAAGATTTTACGACTTACATCGGCGACATGCTCCGACCAAGAAAGTGTCTGATCCATTATGATGCCCAAATTTTTAACTGAAGCGGAAAAAGGAATAATGGTGTCATTCAAAATTGGGCATCACCAAAGACTCTAACTTGGAGATGGAATGGCGACTGCCAATAATTATGGCTTGGGACTTTTGTGCATTTAAAAGAAGTCTGTAGTTCTTAGCCCATATCGAAACCGTTTGTAGGTCGGAATTCAATGTGCCGATAGCATTTGAAGGTCATCGGCATAGAGATGGAATGAAGACGTGAGTGATGATGTAATTCCACTGATAAAGACGAAAAAAGTATAGGAGATAAAACCCCACCCTGCGGAATGCCAGACGTAAGGTTACACCTGTCCGAGTGCGTGTCACCGGTCTTTACGAGCTGCGAATGACCAAACAAATACGAACGAAACCAGAATTCCGCTAAGAGCAAGAAGCAAATTAAAATCAACAGTACTGAATGCACTGCTGAAATCCAATAAAGTGAGGATAGTAACTTTTTTATTTTCTATATTGAGACGAATGTCGTCAGTGGTTTTCACCAGAGCAGAAACCGTGCTATGGCCCGCTCGAAAACCAGATGCAGATGGTTGAAAATATCGTAACGTAGGAGGTGGTTAGTGAGTCGATTAAGGACATAGTGCTCAAGAATTTTGGACAATACAGGAAGTATGGAGATAATATGGGCGGTAATGGGAGAAAGAAGAAGGATTTGATTTTTTAGGGAGAGAAATTACATGAGCTTGTTTCCATTCAGTGGGAAACACACCACTGGAAAGGGAAAAACTAAGGATATGAGCTAGGATAGGAACTACTAGGTCCCTTATTGGAGTGATCATATCAAGACTCAAACCGTCATTACCAACAGCCTTCGTGGTGACAGACTTAAGTATTTTCAACACATCTGCCATCGTAAACTTCCCAAAATCTCTCAAAACTTCTCAAAAAGAGTCTAAAGCAAGACAAGGTGCACTGGCCAAGACAGATAAAGTTCTAGATTTTATGACGGAATCTAAACATGCTGGGGAAGATGCAAAGTAGTCGTTCAGCGCGTTAAGATCGACATTGAAGGGAAAGACATGACCAGCTTTACAGATACCCAGAGACTTCAAATATTTCCACATCTTAGTAGGCGGACAACCTTCGATAGGGGAGTGAATATGTTTGCGCCTGGCGTTCCTACAGAGCTTGTTGCAGCGGTTACGTAACTCGATGTAGGACCTACTATTGATTTCGATTGGATTCTTCCGCAATCTGGCACGTGCCCTGTCGCGCCTCTCCATAACCTCCTTGATATCTGGTGTGAGCCAAGGAGCGGGGAAGTGTTTGACTCGGACAACTTGAAGAGGAGCATGCCTGCCAACAATGGTCAAAATAATAGAGTTAAAAGCTTGAACCATTTCATTCACGTCCTCCTCTCTGTAAATACTGTTTTTTACTCAAAATGATGCAATAGAGAAATATTCTAAAATCCTATGGAATAAAAAAAAATATTCTTGTTTATGAGTGGATAGCTAAATATTGTGCATAAATAAAAATAATCGTAATAAAGTAAATTTGTAATAAGATACAATTTCAAAATTTTGTTTTCTCAATTCCACCAATTTTGAGCTAGGACAGTATTTAGTTTCATGTGCGGTGTGAAATCTATATTCGAATATATATCGCACTGTTAATACAATAGTGTTATAATAACTGCAAAGGTATGTATGTACATTAAAGTTTATTACAGACATCTAAACAATTTCCTATTCACCCTATAGTATATTTAAAAATAAAAGGAATAAACTATTTCGTTTTTTATAATAAGGACTGTTTTAACCAGAATTAGCTCTCAAGAAGTTTGTCTCATTTTGAGTTAAGTAGATATCTTTTATTTGTTTCTTGCAATATTAATGACGGTTGTATTGACATGAAGAGAATCAAGCTTTACATTCAGCAATAGTATAACCGTGAATTTCACATATTTTATGTTACAACACTATTGCAATAGCAGTGCTATATACTGGGAAGATAATAAATAAATAAAGATTTTTTATTTAATTTTTTTTTTTCATGCTCTTTACTTTTTTCTTCATAGCAACCAAATCCCATATACAATCGTTTATTGTTTTTCAGTGGCACTCTAGAAGGCAAACGTGCGAAACCCGAGTATGACAAGCTCCTATCGGACCCTATGCTCAAATTCTCCGGATTGTACCAAGATGGCTGCTCGGATCTGTATGTCACGTGTCAGGTGCTGAGTGATGGAGTGCCATTGGCCCTGCCTGTAACTACTTCTTATAAGGCATTTACTAATAGATGGAAGTAAGTATGTGTTTTTCATTTTTTTCATTTTTTATATGCAGCCACATATCAAGTTATAAAAAACTGGTCCCTTCTTTAAACTGCAAATTTTAAAATATAAAGAACCTTAGTTATTACTTTCAACAAAGAATTTCAACATTCTCTGTAGCCCACTGTAATAACTTACTAATTATTTATTAACTTCATGTAACAATGAAGTAACACAACGAAGTAACTTTTGTTTATTTTCTTTTTTATTTTATTATATATTTTTCGGTTATGTATGTGTGTCTGTAGACCCATATAAACATTTTATCTATCTATCTAGTTTTATCAGAAAAGTATAAGATACTTTTTGCATGAGCTAAAATATATTGGCTTCTTTAATAAAATGATTACAGGTCTAATAAAGTGATGCTTTATTTTAGTATTGTCTGCGGTCAGTGGTCGCTACAACATTTGTAGCACTAATTTGAAATCCCTAAGTCTAGTCTGTCTCTAAACTTCCAGCTGGAATGAATGGGTCACATTACCAGTATACTACAGCGATCTCCCGCGCAACGCGACTCTCGCGATGACCATCTATGACTGCGCGGGGCCCGGCAAGGTCATGGTTATTGGGGGGACTACTATCTCGTTGTTTGGGAAGCATGGAATGCTCAGGCAGGTGAGAATCAAAATAACCCTTATATTTATACGGGTAAAAACTACTATTGCAATTTTTGCATGTTAAACGCTTACCAGTGCTGATTTTTCAATTTTTTGCTCAATAATTATGGGAAGTGTCTTCTCACAGTTAGGAGTGAATTGCACTCGCGTACTGAATTTTTATCGGCGGCTTAGATTAAGTGTTTCACTTTTAGTACACTAGTTGCACAATCAAAAACAAAACGTAAAAGAGAGGCCCAAGGTGCGTGCCCTGAGGTACGCCAAATGATATTATCTATAATGTACTTAGATCTAAATCCCCCAAGAACTTCTACTTGATAACGATTGTTAAAATACGATCGCACCAAACGAGTGATTACCGGTGCTCTAATTTGAAGTGAATATTGTCATGGTCCACATGATCGAAAGCTTTTTCGAAGTCTGTGTAAAGGACGTTAACACAGACTCCACTTTACATTTCAATTTCTTAGTAAAATGTTTAGTTGCGAAGCAACAAAGTCAAATTGCAGTACTAGTATACTAGTGAAGGTATACCAAACGATATTTAAAGCATGTAATAGAATTTAGAATAATATTGTTTTCAAATATTATTACTTATTGAGAATAGATATGTGTATGGCCATTCTGAACCCTTTTCCATTATATTGACTTTAATTATTTTCAAAGTGAGAGCAGAATAACATTCCAATTAAAAAGTCACTTGGGTGTGTCTTCACATATATACAATAATAACAACAAAATAGGCACTTATGTAGGTTATCACATTGGCATACTTGCTTATTAATTATGATTGCAACTTGCCTAGTAAATATTGACATCCAGTAGTTGGTAGTCATTGCCATGTTTATAAATATGTCAACCCATGAAATTGAGTGTCACGTAAATTTAAGCGAAGGAAAGCTATCAGTTGATCCCGCTTGCGAAATCTGTTAATTGTGACAAATTCCTAATAATACTATGATTATCAAGCCGACGCAAAACAACATTTTCTTTGGATATTTCACTGTTTGTTACTACTCTTACTTGAAGTTAAACAATTAAACATCTTCGTATTTCTTCTTCTGTTATATTAAGTTCAAATAAAAATGCTTACTACAACGCTTGTAAAGTCTTTAGTTAAAATTACAATAAAATTAATGTTATTTACTGACACTTGCACTTGTTATCACTGCATGACAACTGTTCCATTTAAGTGTAGATGCCCTTAATCAATACATATTGCTCTCTGGAAAATGCCTCAACACTCAGTATCCTTTCTGCTGTTCTATAAAGCGCTTTATTTGTTTACTGGCTGTTTAAACACAAATCAAAGCTTAAAGAATTCCACTCGCGGGATGTTGAAGGACCTTCGTGTAATAGCGAAAGGCTGAAACTCAAAGGCGCGAATTTTCAAAGGTGGAATGACAAAAAATATTTTCAAAACAAAAAAAAACCGACCTCAAAAGTTCGTGGTATTAATCTATTTGCCAAGTTTTATTGAAACCGGATTCATTCCCTAGTTCGCCACTCTTAGAGGTGGAATACTTTCTTTAAATTTAAATGGGACCAATACTGAGGTGCCCAACAAGAAAAGAATCATCAAAATCGGCTCACAAATGCCTCGCGTAACATACATAAAAAAAATACAGTCCAATTGAGAACTTCCTTCTTTTTTGAAATCGGGTAAAAATGGGAACTACCCATAGTACGTTGAAAACTTGCAGGAAGTGTTGTTTATCATTTTTGCAAAAATGTAAAAAGTTCTATGTTACATTGTTATGTAGTTTAAAGGTGAATAATAATTATCAAAAGGGTATGTTCGACTTGCGAGTGTGGCCGGGTGTGGAAGGCAGTGAGAGAACGCCGGGGAAAGCGCCCGATCGAGGCAAGGAGCAGATGCAGCGACTGGCCAAGTTGGCGAAGAAACACCGCAATGGACATATACCGAAGGTAAGGCGTCGATTTTTCCACGATTCCGTTCACAGGGTACTTAAAGTGGCCTATGTATCGCATACAATACTTTTTCTACGAGTAAATAAAATAACGAAACACAACCAATATTGAATGTATATTTTCTTAACAATCCATATATTTGAACCAACCCTTTTTTAAGTACTAAAGTTTAAAGCCAATATTTTTTTATGGCCCGGTTTCAAGACCTTTAGGCCACTTTAACAATCAGGAGGCTGTGGAACACTGAGTATATAACCAGAAATAGAGACGAAATGTCATTTAATTTGTTTGAAAACTATTCTGCCAAATCATTACAACGTGACCAGTGCCTGCGCTACGATTGGACAGCCCGAATTCGAAGCAATTGACGGGTGTCGTCAATTGTTTAACTTCAAAACGGCCAGTTTAACGGTTTAAATTTAGTTTTAAATAGCAAAATTACATATTTAATATTTAATTACCGATGAAATGTGATTCCGTTTGTTTTGTACTAATATGTTTTGCTGTTTTTCCCACACCACCGAATGGAACAGCACGCCATTGTTAGAGATATTATCTTTATTACAATAAATACAGAATATTTTTGGATTACACGGAGACGTATACACAGGTCATTTGTTGGCGCTGTACTATTTCAGTTTTCCAATTTGTGATTTCAGCGCAAACGCAAAGAATTGATATTTAAAAATTATTTAAGGCCCATTTACCTGATGAGTTGCTAGGGATGGATTGCCTTTACATCGTCTCTATTTCTGGTAATATACTCGATGCTGTAAAGCGTTTGAGTAACGACATATATCGTATTTTTTAAATTTACTTATTCAATACGTACTTATTAAATTTGATTAGGAAAAATACGACGTTCCGTTTTGTTACTCGCTATTGTTCTGTGTTCTATCTATAATAAATGTTTCCGTTCATTACCGAGTAACATAGACAATAGAATTTTGGTTCAAAACTAAAAAGAGCGCTTTTGTGATATGGTTTATGAAATAAAGTTATAGAGCTTCACTTGTTAACTACGAGCCAACATGTTAAGCTCCCTATCAATGTTCCCGCAACCACACAAATCGTCGTATGTACCATATTCAAGGCAACGGCAGCGCCGTAAAGAGTAATGGGTACAAGGAGTCCCATGTCCCAGCTCCCTTATTCTTCAAAACCGGATCACAGTAGTGCTGACATTACTGCTTGGTGGCAGAAAGGTAAGGTGGCAGTAATTCCCTGGACGAACTCGTTCACAAGGAGCACTACATCTAATAAATTTATGTAATTTAGTTGAATTTAAAATGACAACTAACTAATTTTGATTATTAAAACTGATTTATTATAATTGCCTCCTCCGATTTGTTTGTTATAATTGCCTCCGTGGCCGAACGGCTACCATGCCGGACTGCCACGCAGATGTCCCAGGTTCGATACCCGGGCCGGGAGAAATTGTATAGCCTACATTTATTTCTCTCGTGAGTTTGGGTGTAATTTGTGGTTGTCTATGTATGTGTCCATGGCATCTGCGACACAGGGTTTCCCTAGTGCGGAGCTATTTTGAGTAAGTGCTTTTTGTTATTATTAGTTACTGTTTTTCTTTCATCTACCATTTTCCTCTCTCTCTCTCTCTCTCTCGCGTCAATCAACAACTTTGAAGCCTTGCTTAACAAATAACTATTAATCTTTTGCACGTCCGTCTTTGAAATGATTCTGTAGTCAATGGCGGTTTCACAACCGAATTATGCCGTTGATACTGCGGCAGCCCGCATTGCAGTGGCCGCGTAGTGCGCACGTGCTCTTGTAAATAAACATCAACTTCATTTTAAAGCAATAAATCGTAAACGGTTGCCATAGTAGATATACTATGTGGCTTCTAAAAGATCCATCATAGCACCTTGTCAAACTAATGGCTTTACGATAGTGACTCTTGGTAATGAGCAATAGGGGTTAAAACTGCAGATTTGTCCCGATTGGTTGTACTACGTTGCCTTGTGTGGCTTCTTGTATTGTTCACTAATGAAAACCATTTCACTTTGGCCTTTAACGCTTGATTGCATTGACATCTATTAACTTCAACGCCTCGTAAATTAATACTGCGTCTGGTGTTGTTTTGATAAAGTTAAGGATAGGATTGGAAGTATTTGATCATACAATATACATGTATTAAGAAATCAGACGAACTATAGAACATTCCCTTCCTTACCTGTCACTAATCGAAGACGCTGTCTCCGCCCAGTCCCTTTTACAAAAAGTAAGTTTGCACAAAGACAATACAGATTTATAGGACCTCGTATGCAATTACGATATGCTAAACAAAAAGGTAAAAAATATTAAAAAGGTCAATGACCATCAATTTAAGATATTGCTTAGGGATTTCTTAGATTGTTACGAGTATGACGGTACGGAAAAGTTAATAGATTGTCACTTAACACACGCATAAACCTCGAATAACTAATATTATGTATAGTCTATCTCTTCACACACACAAACACACACACACACGCACGCACGCACACACATGCGCACACTCACACTCACACACATTCTCTCTCTCTCTCTCTCACACACACACACACACACACAAACACACACACACACACACACACACACACACACACACACACACACACGTTTATACACATTACATACTGAAAATTTTTCATTTCATTTTTAATTTTTCCATTTTAAATATCATTATATCTTAAAACTAACCCACTGATGTAACTTTGTTGTAAATTCTCAGTTTTAAGCTTAGTTACAAGGCTTTCCCAACACAAGCTTACATTTGCTTAAAGGGAGGACCTGATCTACCATTGTTGAACCAAATTGAGAAATAAATTAATTTTTAATTTTTAATTTTAATAGTCACCATACATAAACTTGCAATCCAACATGACACATCATACACGCGCACACAGTAACAGTAGAGCTCCTTATGAAGGAGAATTCGTCCAGAGAAGTACTGCCACCTTACCTATTTCAGCCGCCAAACAGCATTAATAAAGATACTGCGTTCCAACATATTACCCGTAACTATATACGTCTTATTTTTTTAACTATGTCTTAATACCCTTTGTGTCAAACTGTTCTCAAAAGTGAACCGTTTTCAGGTGGACTGGCTGGACCGTCTGACGTTCCGCGAGATCGAGATGATAAACGAGAAAGAGAAGCGTAGTTCCAACTACATGTACCTCATGGTCGAGTTCCCCACGGTGCACATAGACGGCATCAACGTGAGTCAATTTACAAGTTCTTTATTTAATAATATTTAAATGGATATTTATAAAACCCCTAATAAAAAAAACCGTACTTCCTAAAGTCAATATAATCACCATTTGTAAGACAACTAACTACTCGTCGAGACCGATTCATTGTACTCTTAGGTATTATAGTAAGATTATTTACTCGCTGCAGACTCGGCCATAAGTTATCTGAGCGGGACAGCGATATTGCGCTCTCATACCCACTTACGAGTCTTTTGTTTAAATGCAGGGCCGTGCATTACTGCAGTCGATAAATGCTACCTATCGATATAGCTGTTATTCAATTTTGTTGAATACTGAAAGTAGGAATGGAAACAAAATAAATAATTTTCATCACACTTACACGTAAATAGTAATATTGCATGCAGGCTGACTTGAATAATGCCCCAAATAAAACCCTCGGACTTTTTTACTTCTCATTCACGACCATGGCTGTAATAAGAGGAAAAAAGGTCCGTGGTCTTTTTTGAGCTTTATAGTACAGTTAGTCTGCATGCAATCACACTATGTACTCGCAAATGTGATTAAAAACATTGTATATTTCACAGGCGGTATGGGTATTACGTACCTCGACTCCGAAAGCCCCGTCTTCAACTTCAAGCTTCTAATACTCTCGTTCTTAATTCCTTATTTACCGCCCTTATTAATATACAATGTACCATTATACGTGGGGCGCACTAAGTTTCCGGAATTAATAAGAAAAAAATACTATAAATGGTCAGAAATGAATTTATTGTTTCTCAAAATATTCTCCGTTAGCGTTAATGCACTTTTTCATACGAATGAACCAATTTTGAAAACATTATGCCACTCCTCCGTGACAATCTCTGAAACATATTTTTCATACTCTTCGACAGCCTCTTCAGGTGATGAAAATCGTTGACCGCGTAACTGGTTCTTAATTTTTGGAAATAAATAAAAGTCACAAAGTGGCAGGTCAGGACTGTACGCGGGATGGCTCATAACGTCAACGTTGTTTACCTTCAAAAATTCATTTGTCTGTCTGGCCGTGTGAGAACTGGCATTATCGTAGTGTAAGATGATACGGCGTTTACGGTTATTTTTACGGAGTTTGTCAATAATTTCCGGCAAACAAATGGTCGTGTATCAATTACTATTCACGGTACAACGATTCTCCAAAGCAACAGTAGCCACGTATCCAGTTTTATTAAAAAAATAATCATCAATCAATCATCCGCTTAGAGGCACTTTGCACGCGCGCCACTTTGGTTGGTTTCGGCTAATCTCGAAACACCTTTGTTTTTGTTTTTTGTTGTTTTGGGATCGTAACTATTACTCCATGTTTCGTCGCCTGTTACTATGTCCCACACCAAATTTGACGCCCCTTCGTTTTTTGAGCCTCAGTCAAATTGTGTGGGATCCACCGAGAGCACAGCTTTTTGCACCCAAATGTTTGTGTAGCATTGACTGTATTCGACTCATGCCTATGCCTAAAGATGCCCGAATCTCATGGTATGTCACATGCCTGTCTGTTTTGATCATACGGCGCACAGCATCGATGTTTTTGTTGTTCACGGCAGTGGACGGGCGACCATCACGAAATTCGTCTCTGAGATTCACACGACCGCATTTGAATTTTGCAAACCAGCTATAAATAGTCGCCTTGCATGGTGCTTCATCGCCAAAAGCAGTTTGAAGTCGAGCGAAGCTCCGCTGAGCTGTTAAATTACACTTAAAGTCGTAGAAAATCATACTACGAAAATTTTCACGAGTTAAATCCATGGTGATGTAGACAACCAATTTCTAAAATGACGCCACAATCTAAAAACAAGTGACAGTCAGATGAAACAAACTGTATTCTACAGCCAAAGAGTTCCATTTTCAAATGTTATAATTACTTTTTAAATATTGTTTATGTACTTGTAATACGTGCTTGAGCCGTAACATTAGTTTCGACAGCTGAAATATGATTTTTATAATAACTATCCACTATAATAACTATCCACTAAAATATCCACTATATTTTTATAATAACTATACATATTGTGACAGGGTCAACGTTCAAACAGTGAATTGTATTAGCAATAACAGGTAATAGTTACTTAAAAGGTACCGTACCGATATGTTTTTACCGATAACGGGTCTCTACAGCACTAAACAGGTGAGATAGAAACCGCAATATCGGTGTCCCGGTCCAATGATTTACGATCGAGCCTGCAGTGAATAAATAATAGAGCAGTTACTACTTGTAGATCTACTTGTGAACGAGTTGGTCCAGGGGAGTAATGCCACTTTATCTATTTCTGCCACCAAGCTGCAATGTGACCATTACTGTGGTCCGGTTTGGAAGGGTAAGGGTGCTGATGAAATTACAGGCACATGGGACTTGTCAACTTATGTCTCAGGATGACAGGCGCGGTAACCTATCACAAACTCGAATTTTTTTTTCCGAAATAACGTTTGTTCGAATTTTCATTACACCGAAAACCTAATTATAACGAAACCTTCAAGGTTATGAAAATTCGACCAAACGTTATTTATGGAAAATGTCATTTCGGCCTACTGATACTGACGGGCGTAGTGGCAGTGCCCTTCAGATCCGCAAAAAAGCAAACAAGTAGTGTCTCTTTTGGCGTCTCGCTTGCCAAAAGAGACACGACTTGACCGTCCCGTCTCTTGCTATCATACAAAAAGAGCTGCATAAGAAACAATGTCACTGGTTAAATAATTTTTCACCTCAGCAGCTCGAACAAGGCTATTTTGCTGTGTGAAATCAGTGAGCAAAATCTTATTTTGCTCACTCCGTGAGAAAAAGTAGCTTTTTGCTTTTTAAGTGGAGACTTGTCATTTAATGCGAAGGGGTCTAATACAAATTCGACATATTTCAAAATCAGTCGCTCCGTCCCTTTCACTTCATTACAAGAAAAAGGAAAAAGAAAATTATGGTTTATTCGTACTTCGATATTTAAGCTACATAGTAGACCCCCACAAAATGGCTGAACGAGTGCACGTTCGGAAACTCGTCAATTCATCTAAAAGATAAATTATGTGAGAAATACAAATACGATTTTATACTATGATAATTTAGTTTTTACAATTTTCATTAAAAATAAAGCAAGTGTTGCAATAAAAATATGCTAAATTTATAACGTCAATTAAAGATAACAATATTTACAATGCAATGTGTGATTTCAATGAATACAAGCGAGAACGTTCCGGAACGCAATAAATAAAAGCGCGCTTTCTTTTTTTTTAATTCAAAATTTCTTTTTTGCTTGCGATAGGTACTTCTTTGATAGTTAATTGGATACCTACCTACGTAATAAAATAGAAAATATGAGCGATTCCAGTGAAGACGACAATTTTTTAACTCCTCCAGAGTTAGTTGAAACTGTTAAGTATATATATATGTTCTCGCTGCTGAGGTGAAAAGTTGTATGTATCACGCGAGAGCAAAGTTATTTTGCAGCTCGTATTTTTGAGTCCCTCGCTTCGCTCAAGATTCTAATTCTGAATCACTCGCTACGCTCGTGATTCAACTATAGAATCTTTCGCTTGCTCAGGACTCAAAAACAGCACTCGCACCAAAAAACGACTTTGCTCTCTTGTTGAACAAATAACTATTAAGATAGGCCGCAATTATAGATAGCTATCGAAATGTACAGAGAGTGAAATAGAAAAATAAGGAGTGATTGAATGATTGTGTTAAGTTCCCAGCCACATTGGGAACGCTGCTCCACAGTCGTGGACCTCCACGTGATACCTTTTTTGTTCGCTTAAATGGACCCCTGAGGTCGATGTTGACCACTTTGGGAATCATAGTACTAGACAATACCCGTAACATCATCGTCGACGATCAAGCGTTAATCTATTTCACTTAAAAACTCGTATAATACGATTTTACACCTTACATTATCTTAACATAATAATAAACCACGAGAAACGATAAAAATGAATTAGCAATACTGATAGGAATCAGCTAATCGTTCACTTAGTGCCAGTTCACGGAGCCTTAGTGTTCTTAGTGTAACTTCAAGTTCTATTTAAAACTATTAATTAAATAACTATTTTAAGATAGAGTTCATAGGTTTTCGCGATCGCTTCGTATTGGAAATGAAAGTGTTTTTTCGAATCTTACCTTCATCTATTATTGCGTCCCGTATTTGAAGGGAACGGGCCAGCGAAAACCGATGGACGGGAAGGGTATTTTATTGTATGGCAATTGAAATTTATACCTTACTTCAATTGTTATAGCATAAAATGTGCGTTGATATATTTAATGCAGTCTGCCTTGCTGTCCGCCGATTTGTGCTGGCCCAGTTGTGGCCTAGTTAACTTATGTCTCACGGTGACAGGCGCAGTGGTAGTGCCCCTCAGATTCTTGTGATTTAAACCTCTGACTGGCATTGCTACTGTTATGGATTGGCGTGTC